TTGTCATGTTCGTCTACACCCTCATCGATAAATGAAATGTCACTTCGGTAACTACCATCCCTTTGTGGCCTCACCATTTAAATTATACAAACCATCATGTAAATTCCCTTTATCAAGATCATGTTTTCTTGTGTGACTTTTGCTACTCCACCACAAGTTAAAAACCCATGCACATATTATATCGTAGGTAGAAGATTCATACCCTTTGAAGTCTAATAGACTCAATGACATTACATTCTTACACATATTTAAGACTAAGGCCACACCACCTAAAGAAAGCACAACCCTTTTTAACATTTTGATTCTTACAACTCGAAGACCCATGACCTTCATTATTGATGTATCAGCCAAAATCAAATCCTTGACTGCCCTTCTTGAAGCAAATCAAAATAATTTTTTGGGAGCATACGTGAATGGCACAACTAGAATCCATATCCTTTGATTGAAAGCACTAAATTGTTGGATCTAGACTTGCCACCCTTAGATCTTTTGCTAGTTGACTTGCTTTCCGAACCTCATCCACCAATGTCAAGTCAACTGAATCCATTGTCAATTGCATTCATGAGTTAATTTGGTGTGGAGCATAATTCTATATCTTTGTTTCTTGGAAATTTTTAGGCATTGCAATATTTTCTACATCTTTTTTTCTAGCTTTGTAACATATAAAGTATCAAATCTTATCCACTTTTTATCTATCTCAATCGCAATTTCAATTTTTTTTCCATGCAATTGTCTAGTTATGAATTATATATTTACTAAGAAACGAGAATATTAATCTACATTAAAAGTTATTATTCAAATATTAAAAAGTTAAAAAAATCAATTAAACTAATTGAACATTTGTCAATTATATTTGTTATTTGATTGTTTTTTTTATTTTCAAAGGAAGTTTAGGATTTTCTTTTATTTCGATTTTTATAGATCGAATCGACCCACTACCCATCCCTAGTCATGGCCCATAACACTTCTTTCTCTTTTTTTTTTTTCATTTTTTCGATCCTAAAACTACATTAGTTTAGACTTTGTACAATAAAACTTCTATAAATTAATACCCTAAGGAGGATGAAAATTTATTAATTAATTGATATATTATTTAATTTATTAATTAATTGATATATTATTTAATTTATAAATTAATAATTTATTAATTTATACAGTAATTAATAAAAATTAATTTATCAAGATATTTTTTATTTTTTAAAACATTGAATTTAATACATGTATTTTTTTTGTATTATGATTATACGAATATTATCTAATTAACAAATTACGAATTATCATTATTCGTAACGAGTAAATTATTGAGAACATCATGGGAAATTACAAAGAAGATGAAGTTGAAAATGATAGTTCTATATTAAAGCTTGTCTCATGTAAAGATGCACTCAAAGCAACAATCATATTATATAATTTTCTCTTGTAATGCGAGAACATTACATCAAAGCTTTCTCATGCAATAAGAAAAGTTAGAGATGAGGTCCAAGAGAACATCAATTTCAATAAGAAACAAGTAATATTGGAATTATATTTTAGAAAAACTTCTTAATTAGGTCATTTTTACATATATATATATATATAAAATTTTGATGTATAAGGAGATTATTAATTTATATAGCAAATGGAATTTATGAGTTTTTGAAAATGTATTATCTTATAAATTTAACGAATTGTTAATTTATCACGTTAGTTCCAAATCGGGACTAATAAAAAAAATTATATAAATAAAATTATTAATTTATTGAGTATTAATTTATAAAAATTTTACTATATTTAAATAAAAAAACCTTAAAATTTTCAATTATCCTTTCGTTTTTATTTCTCACCAAGCCAACTCTTCTCTTTAACCACTTCTATTGTCAATGATCACAACTACTACCGCCTCCTCTCATCATCGGCATCAACAACGCTCTCTTCCTCTCACCTTTTTCCTTCCCTTTCATTTTTTTTCTTCATTCCTTCCTTTTTTTTCCAACTTCTTGCTTTAAATATCTTGTTCTTCTCAACTACCTTCCTCTCTTTCCCCTTCCCTTTTGTCAGTTGTAATGTTGCTCTTTATTGTTGGCAGTCTTCTTCTCTCCCTTTCTTTCTGTCTTTCTTATTTACTAAGCACCATTGGGCTTTGCTCCTATAAGGTTAACCAATAACAACCTTTCTTTTTTCCCTTCTACTTTCTTTTCCTTTTTTCCTTTCTTGCTTCTTTTTTCTATTGGGAATTGTCCCCACTTGGGGACTAACTTTAATCTATTGTTATTGATTTGAAATTAATAAGTCTTACATTTACTTCTGAAATTAAACTAAAAGGAACATTTTTTTTCTATTGTACTCTCTCATTAGTTACTTTTACAGATGTTACTTTTAAATATATTTATTATTATTATTTAAATACGTGAAATTAATTATAAATTGTGAATTTATATTTTTAAATATAATTAAAGTCTATTAAAAAGTAAGGAAGAAGAATAAGATTTTGAATAATGCGAAGGCTTTTCTTTATGTTTTCTTTTAAATTGAAAATGATAAATATTATCCTTTAAAAAAGCGATGATAAATATTAACTCAACTTTAACATATTGATGTAATTTATTGGGGATCCAACATCACAGTAAACTTAAGCTAGTTTCTTTTTTTTTAAAAAAAAAGTCAATGATTAAATATAATCCAATCAACGTTAAATTGGATTAACTCATACTTCACAAAATTGAACATATTTGAATATGATAATGCTCAAGATCAATTGCCAACTATTTCTTTTAATAAAACTCGTGTAGAATGTTTAAGTTTTGGCATAATATCCAAAAAAACTTCTAAATTATTTAAGAAAATTTATGTAGCCCTTATACTTTTATTGTGTTTAATCAAGTTTTAGTATTTTTATTTTAAACCAAATAAACTCTTGTACTTTTATTTTGATTTAAATAAGTTTTTTTATTTTTATTTTGAATCAAATAAGCTTTTATGACTAATGATTGACTTCAAAATGTCATTTATTATTTTATATCATGTGACATTAACGTCGTATGCTAAGATATTATAATTAATGATGATATGACATATTGACATATTATAATTAATGATGATGTGACATGTTAACTTGACATGATAATATGACAATGTAACATGTTCACCCTCCACATCAATGCCATATCATTGCCATGTGGATATAAAATGATAAGTACCATTTTGACTAATGACAATCAATCAATCATTAGTCATAAGGACTTAATTGATTTAAAATAAAAATATAAGAGCTTGATTGAACATAATAAAAGTATAAATGCTTATTTGAATTTTTTTGAATAGTTTAGGAGCTTATTTAAATATTATGCCTTAGATTTTCTTACATTTTAGTGGCACTTCTTCATTTTATCACTTTATATCATCTATTCATCAAGGCATCATTACATTCCATGCATCCATGCACATATTATATTTTCATCTTATGCATCAATTCGTCTCATGTTTACTTTTTGCTATATTCATTCTAATAATAAAAAACCGAATGATATTATTTTTGAAGAAAAAAAAACAAACCTATTTTTAGAGAAAACATCTAGAAAATATTTACTAAAGTTTCAATTTTCTCTTTTAGTTTATTTTGGTTTGAGTCAATAGGTTGAAAGATATGGAATATCAATTGAAAGAAAGGATAAATGCACTAGAACGTAATCAATAGGTGTTTGGAAATGAACTTTGAGAAATGAAAAGCCAGATTGCCAAATTAATGAATATCGTTGAACATTTCAATGAGACCAACAAAATTCGCCTTTAAGAATCCTTCTTATTTCAAACGGAATCTTGCCTCAAGCAATTGTTGAATGAAAACCAATTGATCCATGATGGGTTTGACAATGTGCTTAGTCGCCCAAACGAGAATCTAATGCTTGGAAAAAGTTATGAAAAGGATGGACGAGTTGAACACACAAATGATTGAATTGAAAAGCCTCATGTCTTTGTCCGTGTCTTCGAGTCTAACACAACTTTCAAATAGTGGTTTGCAACCAAGCACATATCTCCAACTTACCACTATTCGATCAGCTTGTCAATCCATGAACACTAATCTATGTTCAAATTTGTACCATTGTCCAGTCACTTTTTAGCCACCTTTTCAAGAAACTCCTCTAGTTTAGATATTTGCACCCTTGTTAATCACCTTCACACCTCTACTTGCACCTTGTTCATTTTCAATACTCAAGACTCACCAATTGCAAATACTGATCCATTTCTTGAACAAATTAAGAAAAAAAGCAATCTACGTATAAGCTTTACGGGTAAGTAACACAATGAAATGGTCTATCTCAACTATCAAATGGGCTATGGATGTTAATGAGTAGACTATCTATTATTTTTGAAATACCTAAACTCGTATACTATTATTTGATAAGATATTTAAATTTTATAAATACTCGATTAAATTTTTTAATTATTATCTGAACTTGCATCTTGATATTCTAGATATTACTACTATCTACCCATGATCGTTAAATATTTGATTCAAAAAAATTTAAAATAATTTTTTATACTATTAATGAAAATTAAATTAATACATTAAAATTAAATCATAAAAATATGAATTAAAATTTAAAATTATAATTAAAATAATTAATGAATTTTAATATATATTAAATTAATTATAAAAAATTATAAATAAAAAATAATATATAAAACTAAAATTTAATATTAAAAATTATTATTTATAATCGAATCTACTTAGTGAATATTTTGAAATCCCTACACGAATCTTACGTAAATTCGGGACAAATAACAATTTTAATCTTTTTAAATTAATTGAATCTTAATTAATAAACATCGGACTACATCGTTGACACGCCTAAATGGGCCATCCGAATCAGATCCGAAAGGGCAACAAAATCTTACGCCATTATTAGCCCAATAACTGAGCGCCACGTACCCAGCTAACATGAAGGCCCGACGGTCGCTTCGAAAAGCAGGAAAATGGAGTTGAGAAATTGACGTACCTTACAGAAATCTGGATCGCGGTTCTAATCTTGGGATCAGTCAAAACTCGTGGCACTTACGTAATAAGTTAACCAAACAAGGTCGTTTACCTTTGCACCTGCCGATAAATCGAAGTTCAAAGTTGAAACTTACGAAATGAATAATTTTCGCTGAGCCGAGAATCATTGGTACGAGGTAATTTTCGAACCTTCCCCTGTCTCAGGGTTTTATATGTTGGATTGCTTTCAAGCTCTCCCGTTTCAGGTCTTCTGATAATGTAGAAACCCAACTCTTTTATAAACTATTTTCGAGTTTCTGTGTTTATGCTGCTTTTGAAAGACTTGCTTTTGTTGATTCAATCTGGTTCTGGTTCTGGTTCTGGTTCTGGTTTTCGTTTTTTTGATGTTTCTGTCCACTTTTTTACAAGTGCTTTCCTTTTTTTCTTGGACATATTTTCTCGACTCAGGACTCAGGAGTCCGTTTATTTGGGAGAAAGAAGAAGAATTTTGTTGCTCCTTTAAAGTCCTGGTTTGAATTCAACATTCTTTCAAGTGAACTACACCAAGCATCAGATTGCTTTCCGTTAAATGGAATAGGATTCCGCCATTCTGTCTTTCTATTTGACCAAAAGGTCTTTGATTCTATTCTTATAGTGCTTGCGAAACATGGGTTTTGGTTTTCTCGTCTACTGGTTCGAGTTGTATACTTTAGGACCATATTCTTATAATTACTTATAGGACTTTCTTTGATGGAGGCAATGCTAGAAATGTGCTTTAACTTTTTCCTTGTTGCTCGTTCTTGTTTTTTCCCTCTTCCCCCGCAGAAAAAAGGTTACTGTTGATTGATGATTTTGCGGTTGTACCAGAATGAATATCTGATAGTGCTTTTCGCTTCTTGTTGGTGTTTCATTATGGTAGGGGGTTGGTGCATAGACAGGCGTTACTAATAGTGTTCACTGGCTCAGCCAAAAAATAGTGTTCACTGAAAATTGGGAATTGCATTTGTGTCGAAGACAAGGAGATGGGGTCTGAAGGACCAAAGGCTGTAACTATTCATGTAACTGGATTTAAGAAGTTTCAAGGGGTTGCTGAAAATCCAACAGAAACTATAGTTAATAACCTGATGAATGTTGTTCAAAGGAAAAAGTCGTTACCTGCTGGTGTTACTCTAGGGAGTTGCACTGTTCTTGAGACTGCAGGCAATGGTGCTCTTCCCATGCTTTACAAGGTCTTGGAATCAGGCATCTCAGGAATCAACACAAAAAATGAACAAGTTATATGGGTCAGTTTCTATTATGCAGCTTTATGTCTTGCGGATTTATCTGTTTAGAAATGTAAATTTCCAGAAATTCACATTTAAAAGTTAACTAATCCTACCTACTGTCATTGCCATTTTGAGTCGTGTATGGTTGTTTAGTGATATTGGTGGCAACTTATCAATTTAATAAAGTAACCACAGGAGTCTTAGGATGCCTTTCTCTAAGATTATTGTGAAGATGACTTGAACTCACATAAAGCCTATGAATATTTTTTAAAATATGCATAACTTTCTTCCTAATGTGTCCCATGCCAACTTAGCCTCTGAAGGCATATGTTTGGTTGTCTACTCATTGATAGTCCTTTTCATCTTATTTTTCCTTGTTATTCCATTTTATTTTGCTTTCAATGCCCATTGCAGTTAATTAAATTGGTTTGAGGTCATCCAATATTGACTATCCTGTGAACTCAGACTTGGGAAAAATATTTATACAGGATATGTGCAGTACATGCTATTGATAGTGTCAAGTGTCTTCTGGAATGACATTTGTTGATTTAATCGACCTCAATTTTATTGTTTCTTCAGCTTCACTTGGGGGTTAACAGTGGAGCTCAAAAATTTGCCCTTGAAAAGCAGGCTGTAAATGAAGCCACTTTCCGATGTCCAGATGAGCTAGGATGGCAACCTCAGGTGGACATGCATTTTCTTTTAACCTGGCAAATATTCTCTGTTGTTCTATTATTATCTATATTTGTGTTCATTATTTTCTTGAACTTTTAGATGCAAAGTCCTTTTATATTCCTTTCTGTCTTGAAGGCTTTTGTACTTAAATTTCTGTTTGATGTCTCCAGCAACTCCCGGTTGTCGCTGAGGATGGAGGAACTTATCGGAAACGAGAGGTACTTTGTGATCTTTTTCAATTTATTCTTTAGGTTTCTTATGTTTTATACCCCATTACATCAAAGAAACCTATCTCATGGCTACTGTCACCACGTATTACTTACTGAACATCTTTAGTTGAGGATCTTAATGGTGTAGTTTCAATTTTGGCTGAAATATTTAACATTGTTTTACACCTATGAGGAATTAGTAATGCATCCCTACATGCCATATCGTTTGTCGCTTTTCTTTGTCTTGCCTTAGGTATCAGCTGTCTTCCCCCCTTTCTCTTATCTCCGATAAATAGAAACTGTGTTTAACATGGTAAATCTTTTGTTCTTGAAGACGACTTGTTCTATTGAAGCGATCCTCAAGTTTTTAAAGAACATGGGCTATGATGTGAGAATATCCGATGATGCTGGCCGTTTTGTATGCAATTATGTCTACTACCACTCTCTCCGCTTTGCAGAGCAGAAGGGTCACAAATCTCTTTTTGTTCATGTTCCCATCTTCTCGAAAATTAATGAAGAGACACAGATGCAATTTGCAGCTTCCCTTTTGGAGGCCATTGCATCGACCTGCTAATGTTAATAAGTGATTTATATTGTTATTTCAAAATTTTTTGTGACTGTTTGTCCGCTGGTGTGTGCATACCCTTATTTTCAACCCAAATGATGCTTGCTTTCTGTGAGGCAGATGATTGTGCTATATTTATGTAAATAATTCTCTTTTATCTTAAATTTAGTGATATAAAGGATGAGACTTGGGGTTTCCTTTCCTCCCCACCACCCTTTCTCCTTCTTTGCCGTTACTTCACCTTTGTATTCCTTTCATGAATTGTATTTGTTAAAGTGGGTTTTATATAATGAAATGGTTGCATTAAAGATTGGAAAAGTATAATGGGCAAGTTGACGTTTACCACAAGCAAAGAACAAAAACCTCAAGTTTATTTATCAGCCTGGTCTGATAAGGCAAAGGTGCAATCCAACTATTCTATTCGAAGTGAAATGGAGTTTACTTTATCTCTTATATCAACCGACAACCGGCCGAGAAGTTTAACAAACTGTCATGTACCTAAATAATTAGCCGAGGACATGGACGTCCAATAATGTTAATTTGTAAGGATCGTTTAACTTGGGAGAAAATACCAAAGTGATCTTACATTTGAATGATCGTGATCAACCATGATATTCCGTGGTATTAATTGTAAGTGCATGCCACCAAACCCAAGGCAAAAGACCAAGGTGACAACAATACAATTACATTTTCTCCGTCGGATGGCAACTTGATCAAAATGGTAAACGACCAATGCAGGGAGCTAGATTTTTGTCCTTGGTCCGTAGGTGGACAACCATAGCGCCATCCAATTTCAAGTCCTTCACATCCTACAGTGATCCAAGCTATCATCTGGGTGTTTACTACAAAAATGAAACAATTAATGACTTAATTAAATCCGGGCGTTTAAACGATGCCCAAAACCTGTTCAACCAAATGCCCACAAGAGATAGCATTACATATAACTTGTTGATTTCTGGGCACGGTCGATATGGGAATCTAAAGCAAGCTCTGTATCTTTATAAAGAAATGGTTTCGGTAGGAATCAAAGAAAGTGGTCCTACATTTTCTTCTGTGGTTACTGTTTGTGGGAATGGGGGTTTTTATAGAGAAGGAATTCAAGTTCATTGCAGGGTGATTTCCCTTGGGTTTAGATTGAATTTGTATATTGTAAGCTCACTTGTGAATCTTTATCTGCATATGGGACTTGATTGCGTGGCTCTGAAGTTGTTTGATCAATTGCCTGAGCGGAATTTAGCTGTATGGAATTTGATGCTAAATGGATTTTTGGAGCTTGGTAAAATAGAGAAATTATTTGAGTTTTACGGCCAAATGGAGTGGGACGGTGTCAAGCCCGATGGACTTAGTTTTTGTTATTTGTTTCGCGCTTGTTGCAATGAGAGGTTTGTTAATGAAGGAAAGCAGCTGCATTGCCATGTGATTAAGGCTGGATGGGTGGATCTTAATGTTTTTGTTGCCAATGCTTTGGTGGATTTTTATTCTGCCTGCAGGAGTGTTGTTGATGCGAGGAAAGCGTTTTCGATTATTCCAGTTGAGGATGTGATATCATGGAATTCAATTATTTCTGTACACGCTGAGAACAATTTGTTGTGTGACGCACTTGAGTTATTTGGTAGGATGCATTTCTGGGAGAAAAAACCATCTGTTCTTTGCTTTTTGGGGTTCTTGAATTTATCCAGTAGGAAAGGGGATATTCTATTTGGGAGGCAAATTCACTGTTTTGTTACAAAAATTGGCTTTTATTCTGGGAGTGTTCATATTCAGTCGGCTTTAATTGATATGTACGGGAAATGTGGTGACATTGGAAGCTCTGTATCTGTATATGAGAGTGCTTCTGAGAGAACTTTGGAGTGCTGTAACTCATTGGTAACCTCGCTGTTGCACTGTGGTATCACTGAAGATGTGTTTGAGATGTTCGGTTTGATGGTTGATGAAGGAATTGGGATTGATGAGGTTACTCTCTCTACTACGCTGAAAGCATTATCAGCGACCACTTATGCTAGTTTGGGCAGCTGCAAACAGTTGCACTGTTGTGCTATAAAATCTGGTTATGAATCTGATATGGCAGTTTCATGTTCTCTAATCAATGGGTATTCAAGATGTGGTCATTTTGAACTTTCTCGCCAGGTTTTCAAAACACTTCGTTCACCAAATGTCTTCTGCTTTACATCTATAATCAATGGATATGCCCGAAATGGAATGGGAAAAGAAGGTGTCAGCTTGTTGGAAGCAATGATCCAGAAGGGCCTGATACCTGACAAAGTGACATTCTTGTGTGTTTTAAGTGGGTGTGACCATGCAGGTTTGGTTGAAGAAGGAAAGTTAGTGTTTAACTTAATGAAATCTTTTTATGGCATTTGCCCGGAACGGCAGCATTTTTCATGTATGATAGATCTTTTAGGCCGTGCAGGTCTGCTGAGTGAAGCTGAAAAGTTGTTGCAACAGGCACCAGGAGGGGGTGATCCTGTGATGTGGAGTTCATTGCTACGAAGTTGTAGTATCTACAAGAATGAGATAGTGGGAAAAAGAGCAGCAAAAGTCTTGATGGATCTCGGGCATGAGGATTTTGCCAGTTGTTTGCAGGTCTCAAATTTTTATTCTGAAGTAGGGGAATTTGAAGCCGCATTGCAGATTAGAGAGATTGGTATGGCAAGAAAGGTGACGAGGGAGATTGGTCGCAGTTTAATTGAGGTGAAGACTTCCTGTTAACTTTCATTTTTTGTACTGATAAAATTTGACCGTGTGTAGTAATCAAATGGATAACTTTGGGACAATGCTTGCGTGCCTGTTTCAGCTTTAGTTCCATGAAACTGAAAACTGTTTGTGAAGTCTGCATCTTCTGCTTAAATTTTTTTAAGAGCAGTTACTTTAGCTTGAAGCCCTTGGCTTGTAACAGGAAAAGGACCTTTTCCCCCTGATTCGCTAATTCAAAATTCTTTTTAGGTAATTATTGCCCTTTTTGATGCTAGAGATTATCCATGCATGGTTGCATGGTGATGTTTCATTTGCATTTTATAAGATTGAGTTCACTCGGGAAATTCCTTTGCTGATTCATTAATCCACTTTCATGAGAGAGAGAGAGAGAGATTATACAGAATCCATGAGCATTTGACTGGTGAATTTTTGCCAACTGGTTGAAGAGTAAAGCAAAAAACTTAAAAATAAATTTCCCTTGTACTTTAAGTGTGGGCATGTAGAAAATGTAGCACCTTCATCTACTTTTAAGCCAAGCCATATAGCCCACAAAATCATTCATTTCCAAAACTAATCTTCCCATATAAATTAAACCAATGTCTTATTGGATTTATACAACTGAATCAATCTTCCAAACAGAAAAAAAAAAGAACAAATCATGGATAAATTATTCCTGGTTTCCTTCCTTGGTTTGCTGATAGCAGCATGTGGAGTAGCAGGAAACATGCTAGATGACAACTTTAACATACTTGGAGAGGCTGAAGACCTGGGCATAGCAGAAGATGATGTGGAACTTTTTGAGATCCCATCTTGGACAAGTGAACGTGGTGGCAAGGTTCTTGTGAATGTGGATAGCTTTGGTGCAGTTGGAGATGGAGTTTCTGATGATACCCAGGTATATGCTTGAGTTCATTTTTTCATTTTTATTTTGTTGGACTCCCTTGCAAATTATATTCTTTGGTTTTTTTCAATACTCATTGAAATGACATCCTCTACCAATTAAGATTCTGCGTGGCCGTAATTGGCAGTCTCTATTTCCATGGAGGTTATGACACATGACCACTCTCAAGGATTAAGAAATTATATTGCTGTGAAGATTTTTTTTTAACTAACTTTAGCATTTGATATGTTCTGGAAAATTTTAAACTTTTAGTGTATTACTGTTTGACCAAATATGTTTTTGTTGTCATCAAAATATAAGCGAATTTCTCATTTGATAAATTGGCATTTTGTCTTTCTGCAATATCATCATCATCAGGCTTTTAGAAAAGCATGGGAAACTGCATGCTCTACTCCAAAATCAGTTTTCTTGGTTCCTCCTGGACGCAGTTATTTAGTTAATGCTACGAAGTTTAAGGGGCCATGTGCAGATAAGTTAGTTGTTCAGGTAATGTCAATGTACGTCAAATTGAACATATATGGAAATAATGTCTTGAGCATCTATGTTATAGATTGAATCGTTACACATGTAATTCAATGTTGATATTAATTTTAATTTTAATTGCAGTTGTTTTTTTTGTTTTCTATTTGCTATTATATCAAAATCATTATTGTTGTTATACAGATCGATGGAACAATAGTAGCACCAGATGAACCTAAGAACTGGGACCCAGATCTTGCACGACTCTGGCTTGATTTTTCTAAGCTGCATGGAGTGGCGTTCCAAGGAAATGGAGTTATTGATGGCTCTGGCAGCAAATGGTGGGCATCTTCTTGCAAAAAGAACAAATCAAATGTAATTCCTTATGATTCTCTTTGCAAATTCTTTCATACTCAAGTTAAAAGTCAAACAAATGGAATGTAACACATATTTCTTTTTCTGTTTGCTTTTATTTTGACAGCCTTGCAGAGGGGCACCAACAGTAAGGATCTTTCTCCACAATTATACTAGTCATGCTTCCATTAAGCAGCATCATGCCAAAGTTGTGCATGTGAACTACCAAATGTTTCTCAAATTAGATTTAACATATGAGTTTGTTGCAGGCACTGACTATAGATTCAAGCTCATCTATTAAGGTAAAAGGCCTTACCATTCAGAACAGCCAACAGATGAATTTTGTCATTTCCAAGTCTGAATCTGTTCGAGTATATGAAGTACGAGTCTCGTCCCCAGGAGACAGTCCAAACACTGATGGGATCCACATAACTGGATCAACTAATGTTGTTCTTCAAGACTGCAAAATAGGAACAGGTTCTTAAACCTTGTCTTTTGTCTTTCCCTGCATCTGTTTTTCAGTGAAAAAAGATAAGTACATCGTACGCTAAGCTGAAAGAATGCCTTACAGAAATGATACTACAAACAATTACATAAGTGCATATTGAATGTAGGGAAGCATACTGACTGGCTAAGTTTTTTATGGTAATTGTGCATATGAAATTCAGGGGATGATTGCATCTCAATTGTCAATGCTTCATCTGCTATCAAGATGAAGAGAATATATTGTGGACCAGGACATGGAGTCAGGTGTGTTCCAAAACTTTCAGTTAGATTCTACAAACCAATTCAACAGATTGTTTCCTGCTCCACTCGAGAGACATTTGGTGCTTTGTTGATCATTCCATCCCCTTCAGTGTAAATTGATTGTTATATGTTTCATTTTTGTTTTTTTCTCTTTTATGGGAAATTTGCCTACTTAGCATTGGAAGCCTTGGGAAGGATAACTCCATGGGCATTGTTACGAAGGTGGTCTTGGATACAGCATTTCTAAGGGAGACTAGCAATGGGGTCAGGATTAAAACTTGGCAGGTATTGTGGTGACATATCTTTTAAGCCTAGCACTATTTATCAATAAGAATACCCAATATTAGGAAAATAGAAAGTAGAAGACCATATGGGGCTTCAGTTGTTAACGTACCTGAAAAAACAAGAATATAGCACACATACCAATTCATCTCTTTGAGAATGACATGTATCTCCTTGTGATTCTTAAATAAAGGGTGGTTCCGGTTATGTTCGTGGGGTGCGTTTCGAAAATGTGAGGATGGAAGATGTTGCCAACCCCATCATTATTGATCAATTCTACTGTGATTCGCCAACAACCTGCCAAAACCAGGTGCATTCCAAGTTCTTTTCTGTCATGTCTTGTGATCAGATTGGAGACTTGATTCTTGCATGAGCCTTCCACCCAATGAGAACACTGATCACATGAATTCTTGTTCTTCTCTTTTATTTGTTAGACATCAGCAGTGCAAATAAGCCAGATCATGTACCGAAACATTAGTGGGACAACAAAAAGCGAGGAAGCAATGAAGTTTGCCTGCAGTGATACTGTTCCCTGCAGCAATATAGTGCTGAACAATGTAAACTTAGAGAAGAAGGATGGCACAGTGGAGACCTACTGCAACTCTGCCCAAGGCTTTGGCTATGGTGTCGTGCATCCTTCAGCCGACTGCCTAAGTTCCCATGACAAGGGCTCTATTCTTATTGATCAGAACGAAAATGCGGAGCTTGCTGAACCCACCAGAGATCATATTGTTCACACAGAACTCTAAGCTCCCTCTAGGCATATAAGTAACAATGCCATAGTAGTACTACACCAAGAGTAACTTAACTAGAGCAGCAGAGGTCCGAGGAGGTTTGAGGCATGAGTTAAATTTTATGGGAAGTTGCGGATGTCATTGATGTTTTATGCACAAACTGCATTGAAACTTATCCAGACTATTTCAAGGATATATAAAATGCGGTTAATATACCTATTAAAATTAAACAAGAAAAAACAATTTAATGAGAATGTTTACTAAAATTGTAAATTCTTTTACATATTGATATGAAATTGTATCAATACTAGGAGTGATATTCGAAATTAACTAAACCCAAGGCAAGTATTAACAATCTTACCCGAATTCGTCTCAAACTCTAATATAGGATATTTGAATTATATGTTATTGCATTGAGCATCCGCGAACTTGTTCCGTTAGCATTCCTAAATAGTACCCTTATTTTCAATAGTGTCCATATTGTAACTTGTAAGTAAACACAAGGTACAAAATCCCTACAGAAGGAAAGTCCAAAAATGATCCATATCAAGATCAAACACTGACTCTGCTTCTTGTCCAGAATTAGCCTGGCCACCACCTTATCCTTAAAAATACTTCACCTTATTTTACGTGCAGACTTTTGAACATTTTCGGCTGTTGCTAACATCATTTTCAGGTTTCCCTCACAAGTAAGGGCGTATAATAAATGTTAAGAGCCATACGACCATATGTTTGTTATGCCTGTATGGAGGTGAGGAAAATACACCAGCGAATGCTGTGGCTATGAAGAGATCGATTTGAGTGCTTTGAATGAAGCAAGGACAATCAGGGACCACTGAGATACAGCTTCACTGTTCATATATAAACATTAACTGAGAATCACCAAAACAGTGAAGAAAAAAAAAATTAAAAGTTGGTTGGCTTGAAGAACCACCAAATTTTTATGGTAAAAAAATGGAGCTTCAGCTTCCCTGTCTATGGCAAAGTGACAAGTGCGTGACATCCCGTGTAATAAATCAAAGGTGTTCCATGACCTGCTCAATGGGCACCAAAAGAAAGGAACAAATTTTAACATTGATTCTGATTTTTGAATAATGTTTGTTGGATGGACAACTGTGTTCATGCGTACCTACGCTTAAAAGACAAGAAAAACAGATAATAATCATATGAACTTGTTTCTGAAGCTGTACCACTTTTATCTCGAACAAAACCAATAGTCCCCAAATTGGTTATTTACCCATCAACTGGTCCAATATCTTTGGCATTTAGACGCCAACCGGAACAGACAAACAGTGAGAGAGACAAAAACCAAAAACACGTGCCCCATGTTAGGAAGAGGGATGTCTGTTCCCGGAGGCCGGCAAAGATTTCTCCAACCTTCCCTTTTTTTTTCGTTGGTTTTCGGGGTAAACATCTGAACTTGTCTAATGAAATTAGGGTACGAATTCATCTGGAGTGCAAGAAAAATGGTTAGATTTCTATCTCAGAGATTATTACATGGTGTCTGCAACTGAGCAAAGCCAATTAAAGTACACCACTGGCTAGTCACGAGAGACTGCTAACGAACACAAGTTGTGGTGTGCCTCCATACTTTCTTTTTCTTTTCACCCTCAGTCAGCCCGCCAGCCAGCCGGCCAGGGTTGATGAATTTGCATTTAAGGTCACGCATGGAAGTTGGATGACTTATTTTAAAGTCACAATTTGAACCCACGCTCATTCATGTGCATTTTTGTTATACAAAATATATCTTGGTGCATTTTTCCTTTTTTAATTATTCCTTGGAGGTATAGTTTTGATTTTGGAGAGGAATTGGATTCTCAATTTTCAAGTAAAGAAATATAAAGTGTATGGATAATTTAAAATGGGGTGAAATGGACATGAGTACTTTACATAAATGTGGGAGTGCATTCAGCTGCTTCTACTACCAAGCTTGAATGTTTAAACATTGTAACCATCGGGTAGGTTATCTCATATACCAATATTGACCATGAAAATTATCGGTGGATATTCGTACAAAATGTAAATGAAAGCAAAGCAAAAAGAGGGAGGGAGGGGGGGTTCCCGAATCTCGACAAGAGAGAACATTCCAACTTTGCAAAATCAAATTTACATGTGTATGCACAGTGTGAGGACGAGATGGCAGAATTTGTGGCCTTATGGGTGCTGTCAGTTGGGTGATATGGTTGTAGATGAGGTTGATCAGGATTCATGGCTTGGTCCCCCATGTGGGATCTGCTGCTTTACTCATTGCTTGCGTTACAAGCCCAAGTCACAGGAATATCGATCGAAGAAGAAGAAGAAGAAGCAGAAGAAGAACAGAGAAAAGTGACCGAGGTGTGACTTTGTCAATCAAAAAAAGAATGAAAGCAATGAAAGGAAAGGCAGATGTAAGAGCTTTTTAGGGGCTCAATTTAAGATCCGTGACATTTGGTAGGATGGCTTGCTTTTTCGTAGGCCATGAATTAAGAGTTCTGTAATACAAACAAAGTAATGAAGACAAAAATAGTTTTTGTCTTTCTAAATCTAAGAATCAGAGAAGAGATCTGATCTTGCACTTCAGCAAAGTAGAGGGGTCTGTGTTCCCCAACTGAAATTTCACATGTCCAACATTATCACTTCTCCACATCTATAACATTATTTGCATTAAGCATGTACCCACAACACAACAACGAGAAACTCACTTAACCCACAAAAACAAAAGAAAGAAAGAAAATCTAATCTCTAGCTAGCTTATGATCATGATTGCACTGTTGTTTGTGTACTTGATGAATTTGAAAATATTAGGAATCTTATATGTAGCTTCAAAATTCTAGAACGATCCGTGAACTCTTATTTAATTATATATCTTCGACCTCTTTTTCTTTGTTTTTGGGTGGAATCATGGTTGCTATCTTGATTAAGAATCAGTTACATTTTGCACAGTTCCCCACTTGAAAGAAATTGAATGGTAAGGAGATGATGTTCTAGTGCCTTTTTCTTTTGTTTAACCTTTAATCTATGGTGGGTCATGGTTTTCTTTTTCTTTCTTCTGGTTGGGAGGGGGAGGAACAAAAAATAACTTTCTAAAAGAGTGTGTGTCAGAGGAGGATTCCGAATTTAGACACAACTCAACCCCATTAAGTCCCTATAGCCAGTGGGGGATCCCTTAACATGATGTTTCTCAATTACTCCATATAGGTCATTTTATAATTACCTATTCTTAACGAACTTAGAATATATATTCTCACCTACATAAAATATTGAACATAAACTTTAAGAGAATCCAAAACTTTGTTCTAAACTTTTGCTTAATTTCTATCCAATTTTGTGGTCAATTACTTGCAAATTTGAGGTTTTCCAAGCTTTTCAATATCTATTTGAAGTGAAATTATGTTACTATTCTTCAAATTTTGGTTCATGATGTGCTTCATTTAGGTTTCTTTTGGTTAATGCTATTGAGGATCCAATTGGTAATTTAATTAACAGTTGCTTGACGGCAACAAAAGTTAACCTTGGAATATATAATTCAGAACTGAGCACTTACTTACCGTACGCAGTTGCTCTTTCTGAGGTGCTATTGTTTAATCACTCGTGCTGTAGTTATAATTTGTTGCTTTATTCTCAAGCCATAAATAGAAACATTATTGGTATATGTCGTAGTAATAATGGATTATAAAGACAAGGAATATGACAAGTATCCAGCTTGCTCTATGAAAATTTAAATATTTGGTTAAAATGGGGATCAATATTTCTAACCGCAACATAATCAGATTAAGTAGGTAGAAAATGCATGAAACCTTTATGCAACCATACCTTAACCACTAAATCTCAAATTGATATTGCCTTTTCCCATGCTGTTAGGTTGCTGGAAAATTAAAAGAAAAATAATAAATTGAAGCGAAAGGCATGAATTTCCATGCCACATTTGGTAACAAAATTATTGACCCGATATTAATAATGGAGCTATCGGGCATGAAGATGATGTAACCCAAATATATATATATATATATATGTCTACCCAAGGAGTTCACGAGAGGAACATAGTTCACGAGCATACATGCGTGCACAAAACGACGGCTACGAAGGTCGTACTCTTCTTGTTTCCAAAACTCTGTGTCCTAGTCATTTTGTGGCCGTCTCAAAGCAACAAAAATTGACCTTGCAAACTCTCAAGCCATTTGGAATACAAATAATTACTGTAATTAATCACCAGTTTGTTTTGTTTATATGCGGCTATAGCTAGCTTTCGTGTCCTCAGGTACGGGAGGTATGCGCCATATTTATTTAATTCTAGCATAAATAAAGGCACTTTTATAAAACACTAACCCTTATTTTATCATCTCCTTAATTTGCCAATGAAGTCACTGGACTTTTCTCCTTGGCACTATTCTGGTTGTTCTTTTTAGGGTGGGATTAATTAAAATAGTGTATAAAATAAAGATGGGGATGAAGACAAAGTACATGTATGGCCGGAAATGTAAAAATTTTGACTATAACGGTTTTTCATTAGGACAAATGAAGGAGTACGATACATATATAGATTAATTAGCTGGCATATTCTCAAGCTTTAATTGTAGTCTTCCAATTCCGATATACACGTGAGGCTTTATTATTATATTTTTTTAATTTTTAAAATTATGAATTGTCAAAATAATGTTAAATAAATTTCAAGACATTTATTACAAATTGAGTTTAATTAAATTGGATGTCCACTCAGTTGCTCAAAAGAAAGCAAAGAGCAGTGTCAATTCAATGTCATTAATTAAGGTTTTCGCTGTTGATGGAGGAATTAATTAAATACCTTAAGCTATACTAGTTCAAGAAAAGGGTTCACCTGCATCGATGCACCCGAAAGAGAGAGATTTTGTGGAAGGGGACGAGACCAAAGGAAGAGGTCAAAGGGCTCAAGAAAGACATTATTGGGTGATGAAAATGAGATGTGGTTACAAACATTCACACCTTTTCTTCTTTCTTTTTTTTTTCTGTGACAAGGACGGCCATGAATAACGTCCCTGTGTATATATATATTGTTAGCTATCTTGCTTGCTAAAGAAAAAGGAAACTGACAAAAGCATGCAGAGCAGTAATCAAACCAAATCTACCCATTTCGGTTTCTTTGATTATTTTTCATACTCTGATTAATTTTTAAAAGAAATCTCTTGTTCATATAATTAAATAGTCATAACACCATTCAACTCTCTTTTCGTTGATATTATAAAATTTTCGATACTGTCACGTAAAATTCATGTGTTAATTAAGTCCAATATCCAATGCATTTTGATTTTGTCAATAAAAGATCACGGTAACTCCTTAATTTGTCCTCAAGAGAAGTTTATGTTTCCCAATTTACGGCTAGAAAAAAGAAAGCATACGTAAAAAGGCAAGCAATGGTTAACACAAGGTAAAAATGTGCGACAAATCTTTCATGACTTTGTTGCAACACGATCTTCCCTGCCCTTCTTTTCTTTGTAATTATATTCCATATCTTTCACTTTCATATAATTAAACATATGACTTGTGTAAATGTTTTTCAATTATTCTTTGAAGCAGTAGGTAGGCAGGACAATTGTACTATTTCTATTAACATGATAAGAATAAGAGCAAAGCAAAACTATGGGCGCATGGGGGTTTCTTTCAAAAGTTCCTGTCAAGTTTTACCTGCAGCTTGGAGCTGTATGCAGAATTGCAGGGTAAATTTCTGTTTTCAATTGAAAAAACAAAACTCATCAGACCAGACCATCAGTTCCTTTTGGGAGACAGTTAGTTTCAGTTGCGAGAGTAAGTTTTTTTTTTCCTACCACTATTTCTCTGTGCCATGGTGGGGTCTTTGGAAAAAAAAATTGAAGAATTTCTGTTTAAAGGAAAAGGCAAGAGAAAATGCTATCAGAAAATGAAAGAGAGGAGAGCAAAAAAAAAAAAAAAAGGGAAAGAAAGATGAAAGCCTTTGAGTTTTGTAGCCGCAGTTGTGGGTTTAAGAAGACAAAGCAAAAAACTCTAGCCCGTGAACGTTGCATGTGACGAAGGAGAGCTGTTATAATCAGTGCCCTTTGGACAACATATAGACCCACTCACGTGTCCCTTTTTGGCCTTTTTTTTTTATTACATCAAATTCTCTATCCACATTAAATAATTAAACGCATTCAAGGAAAGATAATGGATGGCAGCCGCGGCATAGCAAAGCCAGCCACCATTTTGCAAATACAGCTGATAGAAAGAGAGAGTGGTCGTCCAAGCTTGTTTCTGTTAGTAGTCACATAATATCTTTGCTTTGAACACTAGATTCTAAGCTTAAATCTTTCTCTAAGAAATGCTCATTTTAATTATAAAGAGAGATTAAAAGGGTTCGCCTCGCATATTTATTTACTCGTGTGTACGCTTTGTTGAGATGTCTTGCAATTTATTAAGTACATGAAGAACAATAATGCAACCACATTGTTTTTCGTTCTTTGTTTTCCTGATCCTCGTGACCTGTTCTGGTTTTTTTCTGTTAATTCGATATTCTGAGTTGTAGAGAGAGTGTCTAGAATTAAACAGTTGGACGGATGAAGAAAATTCTTTAATGGCGAGGAGGAAAGCTAGGTGCATTTTTTGGGTGAGGATAATTGATGAGGAAGGGTTTGCACAAGGAAATTGGATGAGTCACATGCAACAACAGTGTTACATGTGGCATGAAATTGGGCACTGTAAGTGCCTCTTGTTTCAGCGAAATAAATCCCAACCAATATTCACACAAAGGGGAATATGATAATTAATACTAATACACAAAAGAGAGAAGGGAAGGACTGGAGGAATGAAAGTTAAATACCCGGTTTTGTCAAATCTTTTTTATTTTTATTTTATTTGCTTTTATGTCTGAATAGTGTCATTGCTTTGGAGTCCTCTCCCTATTTAAACACCATCAGTTATTTTGGCTCCCAAGCACTAGTTCTCTCTCGCTCTCTCTCACTCTCTTCTCTCTGTTTCTCGCCTCGAGAGAAACCAGAAGAAGCAAAAGGAAAAGAAAAATGTGTCGTCTCAGCTTCAAAAGCCTCACATTTATGCTTTTGATTGCTTTTCTTGTGTGGTCTTCGAGTATCGAAACTTGCATTGCTAGAAGAGGCAAGCATTGGAGGCAGAGCAGGCTTACAGCAGCTTCAATATCTAAGAAGAAAGGAAAAGGTCATGGTAATCACAATTACCACAAAGGAGGATCAAAGCCGAAAGCGCCTTCGCATAAAACTCCTCCATCTCCTAAGCCGAAAGCGCCTCCATCTCCCCTGCCCAAAGAAGAAGTCCCTCCAACACCACCGCCCCCGAAAGGTTACCGCAGCGGACAGCATTCTGACGTCTTCGACGTGCTAGATTTTGGGGCCAAGGGTGATGGGAAAACTGATGATACCAAGGTGATGCCCACTCCTTAATTATGCTCACTACAATGTTCCATACTGCTTAAAAATTCTCCATCATTACGACAAGGCTCTTTAAATTTCACCAATTCCCTAAAACATTTTAGTATTTCCCTCTAAATCACACAACAAAATGGTCTATGTTGCAACATGAAGGGAAGGCATTCAAAATTCTCAAACTTCCATGCATTGTTTTGTTATTTTTTAGCTGAATCAATTGGAAGTTTGATTCAATCAATTCTAGTTCAAAACCCATAGCAGATTTTATTTGACTGCCAATTTCTGCTTAGTTGAAAAAAAAAATTTCGAACATTTGATTTATTGGTTATTACATTATCTCCTGTTTAAAAAATAAAATTTAAATCCACTCTCTAATTATAAAAAAAATTTTCCAGTTCAAAGTACACCTCATGCATTGTTTTATTATTTTTCCCTTTTTAAAAAAAAGAAATAACTTTTTTGGGGTTATAAGAAGAAAAATTACAAAAATTGGGTACAGCAGAGTTTATTTATTGGTTAAAATATGAAATTCACAACACAGAGTACATGGAGAAACAAAGAAATGCATAAAAGGTAGTACAGTAAAGAGAGAGCAGAAATAGCCGAAGCCGGGTGGGTCCATTGCAAAATAAAGTAAAAGATTCTCTTCACCGTAGTTTAGTCACGATTGGAGCAGTAATTACTTTACACTTCTGCACAAATCAAGATTCAACCGTAATTCTATGAATTTAGTTATTGTCGCACTCGCACAGTGGCCATATACCTGATCTGCTATGCTGCAACGCAGGCATTCCAAGCCGCATGGGCAGCTGCATGTAAAGTGGAAGCATCAACGGTTGTCGTTCCAGCTGAATTCGTGTTCCTTGTAGGACCCATTTCATTCTCTGGTCCATACTGTGAAGCAAACATTGTTTTTCAGGTAAATAGTGTGAACATTAATTACATTATTCAATGAGTTAGAGACACATCCAGATAATCAATCAAAAGACAAAGGGCAGAAAAGTTAACTGCGGCTTGATACCAAGTAAAACACCTGCTGCTGCACTTTCCGATTTTCATACTAGCAAGAATTCAGGCCTGAGACCAACGCTGATAAGCTCTGCTCTTTTTTTTTTGTTCTCAGCTGGATGGTACAATAATTGCTCCAACTGACTCTCAGCCCTGGGGTAAAGGTTTTTTACAATGGCTTGAATTCTCAAAGCTGAGAGGAATAACAGTTCAGGGAAAGGGCATCATTGATGGAAGAGGCTCAGGGTGGTGGCAAGATGCCCCATACGAAGATCCCTATGATGATGAAAGAAAACTCATAATCCCACTAAACAGCACAGTTCAAGAAGTGCCACCAATGCCAGTAATTACCTAAAACAGTTTCCACTTACCCCTAAAACTCCAGTGTTGATTATCTGTAACTAATCGTGTTTTTTTCCTGTAAATTGGGTGGTAGGTCAGGAATGAACTTAGTGGAAAAATGCCAAGCATCAAACCAACTGTAAGGACCACTTGAAACTACCAAAAAACCGATCATGGTCATGACAATGCAGTCTTATGACATTTTCATTCTTTCTGTGGAACAGGCACTAAGGTTTTATGGGAGTTTTAACGTGACAGTCACAGGCATAACAATTCAAAACAGTCCTCAATGCCATCTCAAGTTTGATAATTGCATGGGAGTTGTGGTGCATGATATGACCGTCTCATCTCCTGGGGACAGTCCTAACACAGATGGAATCCACCTACAAAACTCCAAAGATGTGCTAATCCATGGCAGTAATCTTGCCTGTGGTAATTATTTTAATTGTCTTGCTTTTAAATAAATATTGTTGCCATATTTCATTCAGTTAAACAACGGTGGGATGCAAGTTGAGCTCTAGTCTTGACAAGGAGTAAGACCTGCAGGTCAACATTGAGGATACAGGGTTAAGTTAAGAACTTGTGAACAACTGACGGCATCATAGAAAAGGTGCAGAATTGAGGTATCTAGGATCCTGAAAGAAACCCATCACAATCTTATCCTGCTCACAATTTTATTCCACACATTCTCCATTACCACTAAATTTTGCCAAGTGGCTGCCAGCTATATCCAAAATTTTAAAAGTTACAGCCACTTGTCGCTGGACACATGCCAAATTCTAAAAATTGGTGTGGCATCAACCACTCGAAAAAAGGATTAGGGTTGAACCCCAGAGACAAGAAGAATACATTTTTTGTTATATTCTTTCAAATTTTCTTTGTCTCCACTAACAGCTAGAACTTTTGTTTTGTTCCCATAGTCCCTTGTCTACATTTGCTTAGAAATAGGTTCTCATGACAACTTCTAATAAGATAATAGGTCCATCCAAATCTAATGCTTTCGGGAGGCAATAAATGCTTAAATAGAATCAGCCCTGAACACAGAGCTAATTGCCAATGAACATAAAAGACATCTATGTTTTGTGTTTACCCTATCCTGAGCTCTTAAAAATCTAATAATTGGTGCAGGTGACGACTGCGTTTCCATACAAACAGGATGCTCAAACGTATACATTCACAACGTGAACTGTGGACCAGGGCATGGGATCAGCATTGGAAGCTTGGGAAAGGATAATACCAAAGCCTGTGTCTCAAACATCACTGTCCGTGATATTATTATGCAAAACACGATGAATGGTGTCAGAATAAAAACATGGCAGGTAACCACACAATCTTCACTCCCACATTATCAAAAGCTCATCAAGTTCGAAATACGGCAATTGAACACTGGTTGAGTAAATGTGCCACACTGGCTTTAAATTAAATCCAAACACATCCAAAACTATCTATTTCAATCAAGATTCATAACAAGACGGGCTTCTGATAATGTAGTATATTACAGACCACCTGCACACTCACACTCACATACATGAGTAGGTAAAAGAAAAATTGAAGACAGATAAAAAGTAAGAGGAAAGGAAAGAGAGAGAGAGAGAAAAATTACAAGAAATTATTCAACTAGAGAACTTGTATGTTTTCTTAAATAAACAGAAGCAGGATAAGCAATACTTGAAGTAAACACATGATCTTACTATGAATAAAATAACTAATGTGTCCCTGTCAAATATGATCCATTATTACCTTATTCAAGTTTTTGGTAAATTTGCAACTCAGTTATCCATATAGTATAGATGTGCTGCCTGAGGTTCGCCTCAACAAGGTCTGATGTTGGAATCAGTCAACACTGGGTTTAGCTGTATTTCATAGATTTCAAAAAAAATCCTCTTCCAAACATAATATACAGAGTTTGACAATTTCAAAGAAGTTTGCTAGTTTTGAATTTTCACCTCCCTTCTCAATTAATATCAGTTTTACTGGAAATTTTGAAAACTGAATGTAATCTGAGTTTTCCCTACAACTTTATATCTTATTTCATTTCTTTAAAAGGTCCAACAAATCCTATCTTTTACCAAGAGAAAAGCCATTAATGCAAGTTCTTAACATTCTAAGTTCTTTTACAACTTCATGTTGATAGTAACTTTTCTTTCATATAATTTCAAATCACATCTGCAGGGTGGATCGGGCTCTGTGCAGGGGGTTCTGTTCTCAAACATTCAAGTTTCTGAGGTCCAACTTCCAATTGTGATTGATCAATATTACTGTGACAAAAGGGCATGTAAGAATGAAACAGCTGCAGTTGCTCTATCAGGAATCACCTATGAAAAAATAAGAGGGACATACACAGTAAAACCTGTGCACTTAGCCTGCAGCGACAGCCTTCCGTGTATAGGTGTAACTCTATCTTCCATTGAGCTAAAGCCACTGCAGGAACGCTACCACCTATATGATCCATTTTGCTGGCAAAGTTTTGGAGAGTTGACCACCCCCACTGTCCCTCCAATCAGTTGTTTACAGATCGGCAAGCCGTCAAATAACAGAGTCCAATCTGATCATGATGTGTGCTGAGCTTAGTCTAGGGAATTTATGGTGTATCCGCTTGTGAGGTCGGCATCGTTTTCTGACCCCTTTCACACCATTGGTTTATTAGGTATAGAGTGTATATTTAGGCATCATCCTAGTTTATAGGCATTCTTCCTTGATGGGATTACATTGGTTCCCAGTTCCCACTATGTGAGATTATACAGGCATGTTATCAGGTAGAGTCCAATACTGGAGTACAAGACTGCCTTGTTTGTTAAGGCAGATTATTTGATTGTGAGATATTATACAAATGCATTATCAACTAGATGTGCATCAATAAATTCCTATATATCTACATTTCTTTCTTCAGATGTAACAATCACTTAAAAAGACTACAAGCACAAGGCGTAAGCATAAGGTTAAACACAATTAAACTTGCACAAACTGTCCATCTTATAAAGCATGCAAGTTTGGTCAGGCACTGACAAAGAATTACAGTAGAAGCAAGCATGAAGGTCAAATTAGAAATCTATGTCCTGTGAAGCCAATTATACGACCAAAGGCACAAGATAAGACAAACAATAAATATCAATAAACAAACAATGAGACAACCATGAACTGCAATCGTAGATGACATGCAGGGGTGGGAATCAGCTCTTTCACTTGGATTTGATCTGTTTTCAGAATCCGCATGAATCATTCGCACATTTAATATATATATATATATATAACTGATAATTGAGTCAGAATGAAACTTAGTTATTATTTCAACTACAATTATTTCATGATTTACCAGATCTATTAATAATTACTTTACATAAATAATTCAAGCAAGCACCCGATTTCGTTTCCCGTTTCTTAAACAGACAATTCAAGTAAATTCAGAGTGCAGCGACAGCCTAAAAAAAAAGCACAAAATCAACCAATAGGTTTGAGTTTAAATTAAATAATAATCAAACAAGCAGAGAGATTAGGGTACCTAAACCGATAGATCGAGAAGATGATCCGGCATCGTTTCCCTCCTTTTCTCTCTCTGGTTTTTACCTTGGACGTCCTCGGTCCTTCTCCCCGTAAAAAAGCCCTCCGTTCTGCAGTTTTCCAAAGTCACTGACCTTTCAGCCCGCAGCAGTTTTGCATATTATGGGTGTGTTTGTTTTGAAGTAAAAGTTGTTCTGGAAAACATTTTCTGGATATATAGGTGTTTAGAAGACTGAAAATGAAATTGTAAGAGATATGATTGAGCAAAATATATTGGAGATCTGTGATTTTTGAACAAAATACATGATTGAACAATAAATTCAAAATCTTTTCCGATTGGGTGTTTGTAGCTCTTTACTTTAAGTTGATGATAATTGAACCTAATCAAACCATGCTCTGAGTAGCTTGATTGTGTCTCAAGCTGAGCTCAAGCTTCTTGTCGGATTTACTTCTTAGTTTGATTACACTACTAAGAATGTATATGTGGTAAATACTAGAGTCTCTGGCAGTGTCGCTTTTCTCCTATTTGTCTTTCTTTCACCTGAAATTTGACATGTGCCTTTCTTCGTTACATTGCATTCATAAACTTTAGTTAATAAGGCAAAACCATCAAGCCATTTATCCATACATTTTCACAAGTAACTTTTCTTGTTCGACTTTTTCTATACCCAGAAGACATCAAAGTATTGAAAAAAAAATTTACATTTGTTATCTAATGGGATATCTCTAGGTGAGCGGTATAATTATTTGTCAAAGTATTTGTATTTCCAAATTCATATTCAAACTCAAGCTTTTCATCATCATTATGAACATAAATAAATTTTTTTTATCATTTATGCAAAAAGGAATCAACAAGTTAGTTATAATTTTTTTTCTATTATTTATGCGTGCTAGTTGGTGTCATATTGACATTAATAATACTTGAAGGTAATTGTTTGAGAAAGTAGTAATGTTAATTGATATATGCATGATCCATGACTCATTTTCTGTCCTCTGTTTTGTGGTGTAATTTTTAGCAGTTCTGTTTAAAAAATTTTATTTGGTGATTTCTTTATATATATGTGTGTGTGTGTGTGATTTTATATTTATGTCGTGTAGATGGATAAAAAATCTTTGCACATAGTAGTTATGGGTGCAGTTGCATCGATATTAGCTTTCAGAATTGTTTTTATTGAAAGATATAAATCTAAGAACTATATACCTAGTGAGCCTAGGGTCAATCAAAATCAAGAGAGAGAGTTGTATATTAGTAGTATTTTATATACAGGTGATCTCCATTGTATGAACCAAATGAGGATGAGACCACCGGTATTTTTGAAGTTGTGTGACATCTTTAGTAGGAACAATATGTTACAATCAAGTAGATATGTATATGTGAGAGAACAAATGATTATATTTTTACATATAATTGGTCATAATGTAAGATTGCGAGTGATTGGATTGAGATATTTTATATCAATTGAGATAGTTTATCGATACTTTACAATTGTCTTGAAAGCAATATTGCAATTATATAAGGATATGATTTGGTTGTTTGATGATTTTACTCCAATTGAGATAAGAAATAATTACAGATTTTATCCATACTTTAAGGTACGAATTAATGTTAGTTCTTTTTTTTCTTTTTATTTGTATAAAAATAATTTATAATTAAATTATACAATAATAATAGGATTGTGTGGGAGCGTTAGATGGCACTCATATTCATGCATCTGTGCCACTTGAGATTCAAGGAAGATTTCGTGATCAAAAAGGGGAAACCATACAAAATGTATTAGTTGCAATCAGTTTTGACTTGAAACTTACCTTTGTGCTTGCTGGTTGGGAAGATAGTGTACACAATTCTCGTATTTTGAGTGATACACTTTCAAGGCCAAGAGGATTTAGAATTTTGAAAGGTTAAATAATAAACTTTAGAAATTTAAGAATTGTTATTTATTTGATAACAAATTTATTTAGCAATAGTATAATGTTTGTAAACTTGTAGGCAAATATTATTTTGCTGATGCTGAATATGGCATTCGAAATAGAATTATAAGTCCATATAAAGGTGTTCGTTATCATTTGAAAGAGTTTAGTAATGTTCGTCCTGAAAATGAGGAAGAACTTTTTAATCTTCGCCATTCATCATTGTGAACAACTGTTGATCGACTATAGGGGACTTTGAAGAAATGTTTTCGCATGTTAGATTTCGAACCTTTTTGGAATTATGACACACAAATAGATGTCATTTTATGTTGTTGTATCCTCGAGAATCACATAATGGGAGTTGAACCTAGTGACTTAATCAATTATTAGTAGATGACATAGAGTCTGAAAGGATCAGAATTATTCTAATAGCTTGCGAAAAAAGAGAAGCAATTAGAGAATGGATGACCAAAAGAGATGAAATTGCACATGCTATGTGGATTGATTATGAGTCTAGGATAATGTAATTTTTATTTTGTTTTCTGTTTTCTAGTTTATGTTTCAAACATTGATATGTTGCTACGGTTTATATTATGTATGTTTTTACTTGTTCGAAATTGTGGTATTGATCAATTAAGTTGTTATTAACATTTTGTACTTTTTTCTTTATTATTGGTTTACTATATATGTTTATGTATGGTTATTTATCATAGTTTTTTGTGACTTATTTATTTTTAATATAAATAATTATGGTAGAGATGATAAAGCCAAAGCAATTTCGCTGGACGAAACTTATGGAGCATATGTTACTTGAGATCCTTGCTAATGAGGTTAAAAAAGGAAATAAGCCTTCCAATGTCTTTAATGCCTCATTGTACACTTGAGTATTGTAAGCTATAAATGAAAATTTTAATATTCAATGTGAGACAAACTATGTGGAGAATCATTTTAGGACAGTGAAAAATACATGGAATACTATCTAAAAAATTTTACCCAAGAGTGGATTTGGATGGGATGACAACCTCAAGATGATCATTGCAAACAAATAGGTGTATGGGGATGAAGTCACTGTTTATATATATTTTTCTTAATTCTTTTTTATTAGGTTTTATTATATACTTTTCATATTGTATATTAGAAAGTTAATTCTTTTTTCTTTTATATATATAATTGCAAGCACATCATAAGTATGAACTTTTCATCCACAAGAGGATTGACATGTTTAATGAAATAGCATTACTTGTTGGAAAAGATATGGCAACTGGGAGCTTCGTCAAATCATTTGCTAAAATAGATTTTCAGACATATGTTTTGAAGTAAAGGTTTTTCTGGAAAATATTTTCTGGACATATAGTTGTTTGGAAGACTAAAAATGAAATTCTAAAAGAAAATGTTTTACAAGTCAATAGGTAAAATACCCGTTGACTATGGAAATTGTCTTATGCCTTTCAAAGGCGTAAGACAATTTCCTCAAAGTTCAAAAAATAGACTACTGTTAAAAAAAAAAAAAACCTCTTGCCCTAAAGCCTACGTCCTTAACTTTGTCATCCCTTTTTCACCATCCATCCTTCCTTATTAGATTCCTCCATCAGCGGTGGTAAAGCTTTCTCCAATGACAAATCTCTTTTCCTTCAACTAGGTATGTTTTGCTCTCTTTCTTCCTTTTCAAATTGAAATTTCCTTGAGTTATGTATGATTGAGCAAAATATATTGTGGATTTGTGATTTTTGTGTAAAATATATGATTGAACAATTAACCCAAAATCTTTTCTGACTGTGTGTTTTTAGCTCTTTACTTAAGTTGATGATAATTGAATCTAATCAAATCATGCTCAAGTAGCTCAATTGTATCTCAAGCTGGGTTCAAGCTTCTTTTCGGATCTACTTCTCAGTTTGCTTATACCACTAGGAATGCATATGTGGTAAATACTAGAGCCTTTGGAAATGTCACTTTTCTCCTATTTGTCATTCTTTCACATAGAATCTGACATGTGCCTTTCTTCCTCACATTGACTCTTAAACCTTAGTTGACAAAGCAAAACCATAAAGCCATTTATCCACACATTTTCACAAGTAGCTTTCTTATTACACTTTTCCTATGCTTAGAAGACATCAAAGCATTGAAGAAAAAATTTACACTTGTTACCTGATGCGATATCTCAAGGTGAGAGGTATAATCATTTGCCAAAATGTTTGTATTCCCAAATTCATATTCAAACTTAAGCTTTTCATCATCATTATGAGCATAAAGAATTTTTTTTGGTATCATTTATGCAAAAAGGAATCAACAAGTCAGTTACAAATTTTTTTGTATCATTTATGCTTACTAGTTGGCGTTATGTTGACATTAACAATACTTGAAGGTAATTGTTTGAGAAAGTAGTAATGTTAATTGGTGTATGCATGATCCATAACTCATTTTCTGTCTCCTGTTTTGTGGTGTAATTTCTAGCAACTCTGTTTAGGAATTTCTTATTTGACGATTTTTTTAAATATATATGTTGTATTATATTTATGTTTTGTAGATGGATAAAAAAATTTTGCATGCAGTAGTTATAGGTGCAGTTGCTTTGGTATTAGCTTTTGGAGTTGTCTTTATTGAAAGATATAAATCTAGGAACTATATACCTAGTGAGTCTATTGTCAATTGAGATCAAGAAAGAGACCTGTACATTAATAGTGTTTTATATAAGGGTGATCTCCATTGTATGAACCAAATTAGAATGAAACCACTAATATTTTTTAAGTTGTGTGACATTCTTAATAGGAGCAATTTGTTACAAGCAAGTATATAAGTGTTTGTGAGAGAACAAATGATTATATTTTTGCATATAATTGGTCATAATGTAAGGTTGTGAGTGATTGGATCGAGATATTTTAGATCAATTGAGATAGTTTATCAATATTTTAGAATTGTGTTGAAAGAAATATTGAAATTACATAAGGATATGATTAGACTGCTCGATGATTCTACTCCACTTGAGATAAGGAATAATCAAAGATTTTATCCATACTTTAAGGTACGAATTAATGTTAGTTTTTTACTTTTTTATTTGTATAAAACATATTTATAATTAAATTGT